ATTAAAAAAAAAAAAAAAAAAAAAAAGTACAAAATGGCCAGTAAGAACATGAAAAAATGTTCAGCATCTTTAGCCATTGGGAAATGAAAGCCAAAATAACTCTGAGATTCCACTTTACCCCAGACAGAATGGCTATCATCAAGGACACAAAAAAGAACAAATGTTGGTGTGGATGGGGGGAAAAAAGAACCCTTTTAAATTGTCTGATGGGAATATGAATTAGTACATTCACTATAAAAATCAGTATGGAGCTTTCTTATAAACTAAAAAAAGAAACTCCATTTGACCTAGCTGTATCTCTCTTAGGTATTTTCCTGAAAGAATTAAAAATATCATTAAAGACATAATGATGCATGCATATCCATGTTTGTAACAGTCCAATTTATAATAGCTTTGCTGTGAAACAGCCTAAAAATCCAACAGATGAATGGATAAAGAAAATGTGGTGTACATACACAATGGAATATTATTCAGCCACAAAGAATGAAATCATGTCATGTTTTAAGTAGGAAAATGGATGTAACCTCACACCATAATGTTAACTGAAATAAGTCAGACACAGAAAGTTAAGTGTCATATTATCTCTTTTTCACATTGTTTATCTTACATGAGAAACTTAAAATATAAATAAATAAAACAAAGAAGAGATGGTGGAAAACAAGAAAGCAGCCTTTTTGGGGGTGCTGAGGGGATTTGGAGGAAAGGGACACAATGGAGAAGGAGGTAAAGGTTTTGAAAATAATCAAGATATGTTATATACATGTACCAACTTTTGAGTGCATAAGTACAAAGTACTTAGCTACACACCTCACAATTGAGCCACCATCTAACTTTGCAGCTTCTTTTCCTATAATGTTCTCTCATTCTTTTTGGAGCCACAGGATCACCTTATGGTATACCTAATGTATCATATGTTCTTTTGCTTCTTAGTTTTTAATATATACTGCTCCCTTTAATTGTAGAGCCCTTCTCCAGTCTACTAAGCTCTCCTAATCTTAGCCCAAATACCAACTCACATTGAGCTTATGACCTGATCCACAAAAAATGAATTAGATACTTTTTTTCTGTGCTTATATATTACCTTGCACAAATTGTTACTGTAATACTTTATCGATACACTATTGTGATAAGTACCAATTTTTTAAACCAATCATTATATAATAAAATGATCAATTTTATTTATTACCTATTTGAACTTTTAAAAATTCCTTAAGGGTATAAATGATGTCTTGTTTAGTGTTCTAAAAACTTCATCAAGGGCCCCGTACATATTAGAACTTGACAAATGTTTCTTAAAATAAATGTATCAGGATATGGAGTTTAATACAGAAGAATACATGACATTTTTCTTCATCATTCTTGAGTACTTGACAAACATTAACTTTGAAAAGTAAATACAGAAAATTTTCCCTTTTCTTTTCTTTTCTTTTCTTTTTTTTTTAATTTATGCTGATATGAGAAAAAGCTTTTTCTAATGCAGGTAAAGTGTTGAATTACCAGTTGATTACCACTGGCCAATAGAAGAAGAGTAGCAGTTAAGACAAATTCCTATTTCTGCTTTAACCTGAGAACATCTCAATGATCTACTTTTTAAACTTTGTTTCCTAAACTTTCCATAAATAGAACTGTCAAGATTTTTAAATGAACCTAAGTGCAAAACAGGAAGAATAAAAGCTAAAAATTATTTTTGTTTAGTTTCTTTTTATTTTTCTTGAAACAAAAATAATTATGCCTTGAAGTGCAAATAAAAAGAAATTGGAATTCTAAACTTCATTTCAGTAATTTCAAAAGCTCTGTCACATCACAGCCTTCTTCTTCCTACTTACCTCTAATGAAGTTTCATAGCCCAGTTATTAAGAGAATGAAGTATTTTGTAAACCAAGAGGAGAATCACAAGACCCTCTACTTTCAAATGTCAGTGCAGGAATAATTTAACCTAGTTGGCCTCAGGTTGTTATCTTCAGACAGACCTATTTGTCACCTTAGTCCCTGGATGGATTCTAGGAACTTGGCTTTGGAAAACATTTTCTGACTAATGAGGATGTAACTGCTGTGCCAACCTACTATGACTGTAAAATGGGACTTAGGGTGAATCTATTTTCCTTCTGAGTCTAGAATTTTGCAGCCAAAGGATGCACAGGGTACCTATGCAATCAGCTTTTGATAATATTCAACAAGGAAACAACCCTTTCATCATCATTTCACAAATATATATGTTAATAAAATTGTGGTCTTTAATAATATGGAAACATGGGATATAATATCTGAATAGAGGATAAAAATTTAAATGGAATAAAGTTAGTATTATGAGAAGTTCACTTCATTATACTTATTTTTCAATCAAGAAAGGCCTCATCAAAGGCCAGTTAGGAACGACTAGATTCAATAATTTTTGTCCTCAAACTTACTTTCATTTAGCACTGAAAGTACTAAACAGAAATGTTATGTATCAGGGATAATTTTTAAAAGCTGAAACTCATCCTCAGTTCACTGAAATAGTATATTTTAACTGCCATAAATAATGGAAGGCTATAATAAACTAATAACAAATTTAGTTTTAAGATATTTTAAGATCTTCTTGCCAGCCAAATAACAAAATAAAAGAACCAAAAAACAAAGGAGAGGTAATACTTCTTTCAGAGTGTCATAAAACTAATTGTTTATACATTTATTTCCTTTTATACAAAGTAAATATTGATATTTAAACGTTATATATGGAAAACATCATTTTTATCTTTCCTAAACATAATCAACTTAAAATGCCTTCATCAAATCAACTCTTCTCACATATCACAGTATTTTTTAAAAAGGCCAAATAAAAACCTCAAATTTCATCCATGAATATGTCCATGTGTTTTAGTAACTATAATTCTTCAGTTTTTAACAATATAACATGTCATAATTGCAAAAGGCTCTCAAATTCTACTTATTTGGATAAAGAACAACTTTAAAAAGGATCACATACCTTTTGTTGTAATTCTTTTACTGCAGTATCTCTATCCATGCATGCCTGTCGGTAGGCTTCATATGCTTTATTGAGTTGCTCACCAATGTTTTTATCCATTCCTCTCTGTCCTGTAGCATCACTATAAAGGATGGAGTAAATGACAGGTCTGCAAGACAATCATAACAGTTTCATAGTTACTAAGTTATATAAATTTCACTAAAAATGCATCTTAGCTGGGCATGGTAGCACATGCTTATAATTCCAGCACTTGGGAGGCTAAGGCAGGAGGACTGCTGTGAGTTTGAGACCAGCCTGGGCTGTATGGTGAGTTCAAGGACAGGCTGAACTACATAGTGAGACCCTGTCTGTCTGTCTGTCTGTCTCTCTCTCTCTCCTCACACACACAAAAGTACCTTAAAGATAGTCCTTTAAGGTTTCACATTAAAATCACAGCACCAAATACTACAGAAGTTGATAAAGGCATAAACCATCTAAAATCCTGATAAAAAATATTATAAAATCTATTTTAAAATATTCTTTGCTAATGTTCCAGTTTATAAGAGGGTTCCAGTTAATAAAAGTGCTACTTTGAGAATAGTGACCTAAAAATTAAGAAATATAAAAGGTCATTCTATTACTAATATTTTATTATACAAATATATAACATGATTAGCAGTGTGGGAAGGATTTCTTTTTACTAAATGGACAGTTATTCCCACTTATAAGGTGAATTCTTGCTACACTGAAATTAGGGCAAAATTAAATAGATAATAAATGTTTGGGATGGAGTTCACACTGTTGTTATCACAGAGCAATTAAAATGTGTGAAAATGCTCTTATTTTAGCACAAAATCTAGGGAGAACTGCTGTTAGACTGTACATTACAAAAGAAAAATCACATCCTTTCAGTCCTACCCTTCCCCACTACATATTAGTTTTCTAACTTTCCTTGTTTCTTAAATATAGGTGATTTGCTCAGAGGAGTTAATTTGGTTTTATCATCTCAGTTGGAACAACATACCCAACCACATTCCTTGGCTCTGAGCAGAGTTGCCTACTCACTCGAATTCTTCTTGTCCAGGGCAAAAATCACATCACTGACCTTTCTCTTAGTTCTCTAAATTACAGAATAGACAAAGTTCTCTATTGGTTATTTGGAGGTACCAAATTATTTTACCTTTCAGGAAATCCTTTATAACCTCAGACTTTAATTTGTAGTAACACCTTACATGTTATCTTTGGATATAAAATGCTTTCTTTAAAAACTTAGTATTTTTAATTGATACACTCCTCTTACAGGGATGGTTTTCTCTCTTGACTCAGAAAGATTGTAGTGCTGCTCCCTCCTGAAGGAACATCCTTCTGGAAGCCTTGTTCTTCTTCTGTAGGCTGATAGTGGACAATGAAGCAGCTATCACACAAAATTATTGTTTGTTTATTGCTAATGACTATGGTGATTTTGTAACATACTGGTTGGTCATTTCAAATACAGGAAGTAGGAATTGGAGCACTGCACCATGGGCTGCTGCTTATGCTTCCTCTTCTCTTCTGGAGAGGTCAAAGGAGCTTCTCTGAGAGTAGCATGTTATGAGGAGATTATTAAAACTGATAGAAAGTGTGACTTTGACTAGCATTAATACTATTACTTTATTTAGATACTTTCTCATCAATAAAGTTTTATAAAAGTACCTACAACATTAAAAATAAGTACATAAAGAGGGAAAGAAAAGAGGAAATATACTAAAGCAGAAATTAGATGTTTGAATGGCTAAATTATCTGTTATCTTTAAAAGCTGCACATGCTGGCAAACTGTCAATGGAAAACACAGCTTTATTTTGAAATCTGGGATTAAATCAGAGGCTTGAAGCGGGACTCTATGTAGTTTCATGTTTTGTTCTATAACTGATTGACCCTTAGTTAAAGGCCACTAATCTTTTGTTCTCAATTCTTTCTCTGTAGTACAAAAAGAATGGACTCAATTTCTAAGGAAATTCCTTTTTCTTTATTTCTTGAGTCTATGAGTTAAAGAGTGTCTAGTTCATCAAAAAGGTACATCCTTCCTTTTAAAAATGTAAATATGGCATTAAAATAGCAGCATCTTATGCAAGTAAATCATGTGTAGCCTTCACTTAAGGTCCTTGAATTAGATTTTACAAAAGTCACCAAGAGGAACTGCTGCAAGCATACTAGTTCCTGAAATAAAAATGAATGCTGAGGAAATAAGTTTTGATTCATATAAATATATAAAGCACTTAATTCTTATTTCACTATCAAGTAGATAACTGGAATTAGATCAGTGACATTCACCAGAGAAAAAAGAAAATCTAAGATCCAGCTAATTAAACTGGACCAATTTCAAATATCAACACCCTGAACTTTAAAGCCACTCGTTCATCATATGTTTTAAGCGTTTGTTAAGTGTAAAATTAATTTCACAATGGAGGCAGTTACATTTCAATTATATTTTGGTAAGCCTTCTATAAAATTTTCCAGGCTCCAGGAGAATGCTTTGTATTTCCAGTAAATATGCTCAAATCCAAGTCTTATGGCAATTCTCATTCTCTAAATCCAGGAGGTCAAATTTAGAGCTACCTCTCCCTTAGGAACACTGCTCTAGTTAGGTTTTACTTTATTTATTGGTTTGGTTTGCTGGTTTCCTCCCACTACATAAGAAAAAGATTAAGACAATCTAATGTCCTAGAAGGTAGCTAGACTAGCTGGAGGTACGCTACCTTCCCACCCCACCCCACTCTCAGTAATCCTGTGGAAGCCTGGATACTTACCCGGCCACATTGTTTTGCTCTAGTAGTTACTATTTTTTTTTTTTTTTTTAAAACCATGAAGAGTACAGGTGGTTTCATTAAGAAAGCAAAACAGGGTAGCAGATTCTCATCCCACTGCTTCAGTCTATTGAATGATTGTTGTGTGTCTGCCCAGTGGGAAACACCAAGAAGATCCCTGGGCAGTATGCACTTCCTCTTTCACTGGTATAGACAAGGGACAGCCTGCAAAACGGAGATGATTTTTTCTTGCTTTGATAAAGTTTTCTGCTTCCAACAAAGATCTGTCAACTGCTGAGGTCAAAGTTTGCTAAGATTTAAGAAAACATAGTTTGCTAAGGTATATATTAAAAAAAATCCCATTACTATTCAATTAGAAAAAAAATTTTTTTTGCTCACTTTTTCTGGATAAAGCATCTTGTAGCATTTTAGCATGGGAGTGAGAGATAGTACTACCTTATAGTTATGTTTTTTAACAAAATATTTTCACCAATTCTTTACTTCCTATTATTAATAATCCTACTTGCTAATAATATTTAGAAGGCTTAAATGACTTACTTATTACTACACAGCTGTATGATGAACTGGGCTAATCTTCAAAATTCTTAGTTCAAGGATTGTTCATTAAAGCCAGTTCCAAAGGATCTTGGATATATTTATTATCCATTCACTGAATACCAATATAAGCAAAGGTGTGCTGGATACTACTGATGCAGTGAGAACAAAACAGATGTGAAATCTACCTTCTTGAAGGCACCATTAGCTACAAGTACAAGCATATATGAGTACCCTAAGCGACCCAAAAGCCAATAGGGTTTGGTGAGGAAAATGGTCACATGTATTTATGAAGTTCAGGACAGTTATGTTGTGAATGGCAAATACCCATGACTAGTTCAGAGCTGAACTCATAGTAGGTGCAGCTTTTCTACTGGCAAAGACAGTCATGGTCTTTGACTTTTTCTCCCATTACAGCTTATAATTTAGTAAGGCAGACACATTTGAAAACCCATCTTCTGAAAAAATAAAAATGGAAATTACACTTTAAAAACATAAAAAGCAAAAAGACTGGATGCCAGCATGGAATACAAATTAGTGAGAAAGATAATACAGGGATATGTTGTAGGAAACTTGCTGCATTGTAGGTAAGGCTTGAAAAAAAACCAGGGGAAATGAAAGATAAACAGATTCAAAAGACATTTCAAAAGCAGAACTAACAGGGTCTTGTGGCCAACTGGATCCCAGTAAGAGACAAAAAGGCATATTCAGGTACCTGTGATGATTAATCAAGCCTGGGAAGGGGCCTTAGAATCTGCATTTTAATGAATGAAATGTCCAAGGTGATTTTGTTGCAGGTAGCCTGCCAGTCATTTTTTCAAAACATTAGGTAAAAAGTGATGATAGACACAGAAAAATAAAAGAAAATTCGCTAGGAGAGAAAGAGAATAGATAATTCAATTTTGGACAAAAGTGTTGGATGAAACAATAATAAAAAAAGAACCAACTGAATGATAATCTGTAAGAATTAAAGAAAGCAAATTATGCCTTCTTCATTGTGTTCTTGAAGTCTGTTTTGAATTCTTCTAATGCTAGTACTTTCTTAGATGGTCAACCGGGCCAAAATATTCTTACCAAGAAAATGCAGAAAAAGCTACATCTTTGAAAGGGAAAAATAGTCTCTAGAAAGGTACTTGAATGTGTGATTTTTCTTAAGTCTCTTTCTTCTACTCTACTAAATTTATAACAATGAAGTAGTATTAGTAATTACTTTTTAAGAGTTCTAGAGTTTGTATCTATCTTATAGATTTAATTAGAAAGTCTGACACCCCCCTTTTTATTAATCTTAAAAATATTTCCCAAAACATAAGACTAATGAGAGGGTTGTCACAGGCTGCATGAGATTCATAAAGAGCCAAGTTTTTTTGAAACAATAGTTAAAAATTTACTCTCTCCAACTGTTAGCAGATTAGTTGCCCCTCCAATATCCTTGAATTATTTATTATATCAACACAAAATGAAGGAAGTATATGAAAGGAGAGAGCTTGTCTATAAAAGTGAAATTTTAGTAGATAGACGATCTTTTCATGAAAGGTTCATTTTCTCTTTAAATCACAGTTTAAAATTTCTGAGTAGCCAGTTAGCCTTGAGAATATTACCACCGATACAGAAATAGGCAAAAGCTTTATAATTACAAAGCTGTACTCTGTGCTCTTAACCACTGGCACAGCTCTTCAAGCCTCTGCTTTTAATTTCCCTGAGGACACCTAGAGGCTGTTGTGCAAGTGTTTGCAAGTCACAACTTGTTTTATTAGAAGTAATTGTGAGGACTCCAATGAGAAAATAAATAAGGTCTCAGAGATTTCCAGATCTCCATTTCCAATCATTCCCAAGATGTTTAGGGTGTGACTTTACATGTATAATGTAAATTTAAAACTAGATTCAATATTTTTATACTGTGCAACATACTCTTTCCAACTGTTGAATATTCCTGGAGAGAGAGGACCCAAAATATCCTTGGGTAGCCTGACAACCTTTCAAATTTTCATCTGTTTCAACATTACTCAACTTCCACCCTTTTTAGAGGCCACATCAGATTTTCTTAAATGCAAAGATTCAGATTTAGCAAATTCTAACACTTGCTGTGCCATCCTACTAGGGGGAAGCAAAAGCTGACTAAATTTTTGATGTGCTATTTCACTTTCTTTTGTCTCTGGAAAAAAATTTACAAGATGCTATAAAATAAAGATTCCAAACTTAATTTGAGCTAGACTATATTTCATGTGAAATCAATTTCTCTGACAATTTATAGAGTATCTGAAATAAAGCTAGTTGACCAAATATAAAATCAAGAGCTACAGTGCAGAATACATGTCCAGCCTAGATATGTATTGGGTGCAAGTGAACAGTCATTTACTTTTTCCATGGACTTAAGTTCACATGTCCCAGTTCAGCATATTTGAAATAGTATCATTCTATAGAATACTCGTTCCCATTCAGTTAGACATTAGGGTCACCCAGTGTGGCTTTAAAAAACAGATCAGCAAAATTCGTCCAAAACTTTTTGAATAACTTTTATTTATTTATTTATTTATTTATTTGGTACCGGGGATCGAAGAATCATAACTTTATGTAGGGACATGTGACATATTTAAAATTTTTTGTAGGGGATCAAGTCATAGTTGGGAAAGCACTGCAAAACACTATACAAATATATGTCAAAGCAGGAAAATAGACTTTCATAAAGTGTCTCCTACAGTGAACTACTTTTTGAATTGTTCTAGAAGTATAGAATATAAAAACAAAAATAGCAGTTGCTAAGGTAGAAGACTTTCTCTCAAAAAAAGAGAGAGTGAGAGAGAGAGAGAGAATGTATTTCAATACTTTGGCAAATGGCCCAGAACAGCACTTTTACAGATCTTGGTTCCATGAAATTCCCTTAAATCATCAGTGTATATGACCAATATTTTCATTATCACTGGCATTCTTGTGGAGAAATATGAAGGTGACCACAGTCTTTCTGCTATCAATTTAACATTTCCCCATCAATATTTAATCCTCCCAATTCTATTTAAATTCTTAAACTATCGATAGATAATTAAGAGAGATCCCACTGACATGCCTTCAGCCCGAACAGACACATGGCCATGGATCATGTGGTCAATCATTTTCTGTTTAAATAGTAAGCCTCCCAGCTTCACGGAAGGGGCTGGTTCCCCATTTCTTCATGGGAAATGATGGACGGGGGGTAGAAACTGACATGTGTTTGCCTGGTGCTTTACATAAACCACCTCATCTTAAATCTCTCAATAGGAACAGACACTATCTTCCCTTTGTAGTTGAAAATGAACTTCAAAAGGGTAAATAAGTTGCCTAAAATCACAGAATTAGAAAATGGAAGAACCAGATAAATCCAGGTCTGATGTGAAACATAATCTTTACCTCTTTTGCTCCCAATTAAGTTTTAATTTTATTTTTAATCAAAGCTGTACATTCTTTTATCTTAATGAGTCAAATAGCTCTAACAAGGCTTAAGAGAAACAGTCCTTGGCGTTCCCCTCCCCATTTCCTGTTTTACCTTGGCAACCGCTTTTGGTTGATTCTTTTTTGTATTTGTCTCTATCTCTAAGCCATATATGTAACATTGCCACTTTAGATTTTTCAGTTTTGTCTTCCCACTATGAAAAATTCAGTTGTCTTTAAACATCTCCTCCTTTCTACTCTTCCCATTTTTCCAATATCCTTATATCATATTTTTGGTTAGATTAGCATTCAGCTTTTACTGTACTTTTTAAAATTTCTTATACTATTCACTGTAGAGCCATAAAATATTTCCTGGCTGCTTATTCTCTCCTGAAAACCTTTTTCCATGAAAAAAAAAATGTTGTTCATGTGTTTCCTATTACTACTAATATATTTCCTCAATATATTCAGATACTTCAGGTCTTCTATCAATTCCATATTCTTAGAGGAATCTTTCTCTCCTCCCCTCCCTTTTTTGCAGTACTGAGGACTGAACCCATGGCTTTCACACTGAGCTACATCCCTAGCCCTTTTTCTATTTTTTATTTTGAGATAGGGTCTTGCTAAATTGTTAAATTGTCCAGGTTTGACTGAAATTTGCAAACTTCCTGCCTCAGCCACCTAGAATGCTGGGATTACAGGTGGGTGCTGCCCACCCACCTAGGAATCTCTTCTTGGGCTTTCAGATTAATGCAGACTGGCTGCATGGATAGAAAGCTTTCATCCTGGGACTTTCTTTCACCTTGAATTTGGGTATTTTCTTTGCTTATATCTTTCTCTAACTAAATTCCTTATTTTTCAGTATCCCAATTCTTTTTTTATTTTATAACTTCATCTAATGAACCAAATCTTCAGCAGCTTCCTGAGAGAGAGTGCTTATAAAGTAAAATTTTTGTAACCTTACAAAACTGAAAACATCTTTGCCATCAGACCTGATAGTTTGGGCAGATTTCTAGGTTGGAAGTAATTTTTCCTAGAATTTTGAAATCTTTACTAAACTGCCTTCTAGTTTCCATTTGTTTTTGGTGGAGCCCCGACCCATTTTATTTCCTGATGAATTGTATTTAATTTATCTTCCCCTCCCCCCAAAACTACTAGGATTTCTTTCCTTTTGTCCTCAGTTTGCTGAAATTTCTATTCATCACAGTGGGTGCTTGGTGGGACCTTTCAATCTGATAATTCAGCCTTCAATTCTTTCTATTGAAATATTCTCTCTCTCTGTCTCTCTCTCTCTCTCTCTCTTTTTGTATTCTT